CAATTGACAGGCATCCCTTCAATTTCCAGTTCTTTGCCACCACAAAGAGAGCTGCAATAAATATTTTAGAACATTTAAGTTCTTTTCCTTTTTCTCTAATCTCCATGGGAAACAGAACTAATAGCGGTATTGCTGTGTCAAAGGGTATACACAGTTTTATAACTCTTTAGGTATAATTCCAAATTTTTCTCCAAAATGGTTGGATTAGTTCACAGTTCCACCAACAGTGAATTAGTGTCCCAACAACTGTTTCAATATAGAGGGTGAGAATGAGGAGTCAAGGATGACATTTAAGTTTCAAGTCCTGGTGGATGATGATACTTACGTTGGGAAGTTAGGAAAAGGGAAGGGGTGAGGAAAAGATGTGTTCAATTTTGGACATGCTGAACTTAAATCATCTAAGGTACATCCAGTTCAAGATGTCTAAAAGTCAGTTGAAAATGTAAGACTGAGAGTGTAGAAGATGAACATTGGAGAATTCCTCCCATATCCTCTACTATTTAACTAAGAAACTCTCATCTTCTCAGATCATTTCCCACCTCCTGCTGGGTAATACCCCAACCCTTTTCATCTTCTTTTTATGTAATGTCTCCCCCCATTAGATTATGAGCTGCTTGGGGGCAGGGACTATCTAACGCCTTTCTTTGTATCCCAGTACCTGGCATATACCTTAGTTAAGTACTTCACAAGTATTACCTCTCATCACAATCTTGAGAGGTAGATGGTCTTATTATCCCCATTTTACAGTTGAGGAAACTGAGGCAGTGATAAATGACTTGCCCAGGGTCTCACAGCTTCTAAGTATCTAGGCTGGATTTGAATTCAGTTCTTTCAGACTCTAGGCTCAGAGCTCTACGCACTGTACCACCTTACTGCCTAGGCTGCAGTGGATTACAAATGAACTGTATACTAGAAGCATTTATCATTGAAGAGATGAGTACTTGGAATATGTGGGCCAGCAATATAGTGAGAGTGACGGGAAATCTATGAATTATGTGATACACTGATATCTATCTAATGCTGAGAAATATGAATGAAGGACCCCTGACACATAGGCTGTTTGTTCAGTTATTCAATCACCTTCTAGTCACGTCTGACTCTTCGTGACTTGCCCAAGGTCACCCAGTTACTAAGTGTCCTGAGGCTAGATTCGAACTCAGGTCTTTCTGACTCTAGGCCAGGCTCTCTATCCACTAGGCCACTAGCTGCCCACTAGTATGTACTTAATGTAATAAATGTTGAGCGGACTTCCTGGGGACGATTTATGAGAGGATGTAAATTAGCACCTCCAACATGAAGACTTTCCTGATCCCTCTCATTTTGGGGATGCTATTTTATATCCTCTTTTATGAGGTTTTTCCTGATCTGTCCATTTACTTATGTTCCCACTCTCCCTATCTCCCCTTCCACTTTGAGGAATCATAATCAAATCACTATTGTCTTTGCTACTGATGTGCCAATCTGCTCCCCTGAGCCTCCATGTACCATCCAGGTAACTTCAAGCAGAAATGCTCCTTCCTGGTCACTATTTACCTTTAGGAATAATCTTCCCCTATTAGACAATAATCCTTGAAGGCAAGGACTACCTTATTTTTGTATTTGTATCTTCACCACTGAGTCCAATGAGGTATAGTGTATGAAAAGGTACAGAAGTGAGAAAGGGTAGCATGATCTGGGAATGTGGATTAGTCCATTTGGCTGAAATATAGAATGCATGAAGGAGTAGAGAAGGCAGTAGTGACCAAGTGAAGGTTTTTGAGATAGAATAGCATGGCTCAGGCCTGGACACTAAGGGTACCCTGGGAGTGATGGAATGGATGGATGCAGGAGGGAACCAAAATTTCAACCTGTTTTCCAGTATAACTAATATTTATACAAAACTTTAATGTTTGCAAAGCACTTTACGTGTATTATTTTAATATAATGTTGCCTTTTATTTAGTGATTATTTTGATGTGAAGAAGGAAGCACGGAAGGGATGAGAGAATAGAGAAAAGATACCATGGAGAGGATAATGCTTTTGGTTTGGGACATGATTTTTAGGGGAAGGTGGGTTATCTGGATGGATACTGAAGTATATATGTTAGTTCAGTAGAATTGGAGATGCAGAACTGGAGTTTAGGTAAGAGATCTTGACAACACATATGAAACTGGATATATCTGTGTAGTAGAAAAGAATATGGGATTTAGAAGAACTAGGTTTAAATCCTCAATCTGTAAATTATGGGTTACTATGCTTAAGCCATGATCTTTCAGCCTGCTTATTAAAGTAAACAATGGATAGAACTTGTTCTATCTACATTAAGGGATTATTAGTGAAACTCTTGATTAACTATATGGCATTATATAAAGACATAAGCTATCGAGATGAGTTAAAGTCATGAGAATGGGTCTATTTTGGAAAGAATATAAGGAGAGAAGAGTACGAGAGGTATCATAGCATCTTAGAAAGAATGCTGAACTTTAAGTCAGGGAGACCTAGGTTCAAATCTGCCTCTGCCACTTACAAGGTGTGTGACTTTGGGCAAATCATTTAACCCCTCTCAGCATCAGCTATTTCCCCAGTAAAAAGAGGAAGTTGGATTCGACTGCTTTAAAGGTCCCTTCTGGGTCTAACTGAAGACTTTGATGTTATGAGTAGAGCTCTGAGGAGTACCCGGTTAAGGTTTGGAAGAGCCATTGATTAGAGAAAAAGAACCAGAACACTTCAGTGTTCTACAAATTAAAGGAAAACTTTCAAGATGAGAGTGAATAATATAGTCTTGGGAAACTTAGGACCATGGCATTAACAGTTTGGCATAAATGGATTTCAACTCTATTCTATCAATTGTAATATCTTGCATTTACATAACTTTACAGCCTATTCAACAATGCACATTTTTCATAATAGCCCTGTTGGAGGTCAGTATGATATTATTTATTTTAAAGATGGGAAACCTGAGGTTAAGTAATTTTTTCATACTTATGTGCCTTGGAGAATTGAACTGAGGTGTGTCCTCTTTTTCAATGTGTTGCACAGCACTGCTTGGTTAAGTACCATAAAACAGCATCGGGACTTTGCTAGACTTTTTTCTTAAGCACAAAAAATACCTCTGAAGCATAACAGGTATCAAATTTAAATGTTTATTGGCTTTGCTATATCCTTATAACATCTTTGATTATATCTCTTCAGAGCTACTTTGGAGGAAATATATCGTGAAAATATTTAGACTTGAATAGATTAAAATCCTAGTTTTGACACTTCAGATCCTCTAATAGCTAGCATTTACATAGCACTTTATTTTGCAAAGTGCTTTATATATATTAACTTATGTAATTTTTTTTTAGGGCAATTGGGGTTAAGTGACTTGCCCAGGGTCACACAGCTAGTGTCAAGTGTTTAGTCTCAGGTCACATTTGAACTCGGGTCCTCCTGACTTCAGGGCCGGTTGTCTTTCCACTGTGCCACCTAGCTGCCCCTAACTCATGTAATTCTTAAAACCCTTCTGTGAAGTAGGTGCTATTATTCCCTTTTATAGATTAGAGACAGAGATCACAAAGCTAATAAACGTGTAAGCCAGGATTCAAACTTACGTTTCCTGAAGCCAAAGGCCAGTACTCTCTATCCACTGAGCCACTGGGTGAGCAGGGCACAATCTCTCTGAGACACTTGTTTCCTCAACTTTAAAAAGAGAATATCTACCTCACAGGTTTGTGGCGGGGAGACTGCTTTGTAAAATTCAAAATGCCATATAAATATGAGTTTTTATTTCAAGTAATGTTATTCTTCCTATCAATTCTTTGAATTTTCAGTTAGGCTTTCAAACTGCCTTTTGCTATCGTTCATCACGTGGCCCATGATTTATGCTTTTTATCCTAAAGAGTCGTACAATTTCCACAGCCGAATCATTTATTTTCTAAAATGTTTACATTTCTAAAAATTTTAAATCTATTTTTGCTGTTAAAGGCAAGAAGAAAGATAAAACCCTCAGAACCGAGACCTGCGCCTGGCTGCAACCTGATGTGGTGCGGCCACAAACACTGCAGAAAGGTCATTTTGGACAGTCAATAGGCCATTGATGTGGGAACAATGAGCACAGCCAGGTTGTGAAGCTGAGAGCCGGGCAACGATCAAAGGGATAACCTTTGTGAGGCGCTTACAAAGCCCAGTACAAAGCACGTCATTGTTCGCATTATCAGGCGGGAGGCAAAGCCTGGGGAGGAACAAAGGATTATAAAATGGGTCAGAGAGAGGCTCGGGCCGGGGCTTACCCTGAAGGTAGTCCCTGGGAAAAGCCCCCACAGTCCACACTTTATCAGCTAGTTTCTTCCCCGAACATATTTGAGATCCTCAAAAAGCCGCGTGGCCCCAGGGACTCACTGTTCGGCCTTGGGGAAGTCAATTCCTTTCTGAGGGCCTCAGTTTCCCCATTTGGAAAATGAGAGGGTTGGGGCTCGGTGACGTAGGCCAAGGTCCCTTCCAGCTCGTGGAGCTGACTCTGTGATTCACCTGCCCTTCGCGGCTCCCCACCCGGACAGAAAGCCCAGCCGACAGCTTTCTCCCCACCTCGGCCTCGAGTCGGAGTCGCTTTACCCCCGGGGGGGGGGCGGGGCGGGGCTGGGGAGACCGCAGACCCGGAGCTCCCTACGGCGGGATGGTGATCCGCGCCAGCCTCACACCGCCGCGTGAGCCTTCTACCAGTCGTTACTAAGGGAGCCTGAGTGGGTCGTGCCCACCCTCCGGGGCTTGAGCCCAGGAAAAGCAAGCTGCCGAGAAAGGGAAGGAGGAAGGCCGGCCGGGGCCCGTCGATGACTAACGCCACAAACCCTCCCCACAGGCGGCGACCGCAGCAGCTACTACGACTCCCCAGGCCCGAGGCAAACGCCCAAATACTAGGCGACGAGGCAGCGCGCATGCGCCCTCGGCTTTCTTCGGCCCCTCCCCCCGCTTCTGCCTGAGTTACGCCCATGCGCAAACGCTCTGGCGACGGGCTGACGCTACCGGCGTGAGACTAGGCTCGCACCAATCTAGTTTCTTCCTCTAGTCACCCTCGGTGTCTCGCGCCCGGCGATCACCTTCCCAGGGTTCTTTGCGCTGTGAAGAAGCGGCTTTAGTGGGCTGGGGGCATTTTGTGTCGGCTGTAGCCAGAGGAACAAGATGGCCGCCTCGGCCGAGTGACCGTGGTTCTAGCGGGCGGGACCTGGCGGCGGCTCTGGCAGCAGGTGGGCTACGCCCACTTACTGCGCCTTCTTTGGTTCAGGACATTTCCCTGAACCCGCAAGGGACCTTCTAACGGGGGCGGGGGGCACCCGGGGGAAGCTGCCCGGCCTGGAACCACAACCCTCCCGGGAGCCTGAGGAGGGAGAAGCCGGAACTCCGCGCGGCGGCGGCGGCAGCAGCAACAAGACTCCTTCGGGACGCCTCAGGACATCTTAATCCGGGGAAACAGCCTCTTTTCTTTATTTTTTGGGGAAAAATTTATTGAGTGCCACCATCTCCGGTCCCTGGAAGCTCGGGCCTGGTGGGTGAGACCCGCCTGATCCCCGTCCCCTCCCCCTTGGCCCCGGGACTCCCAGGTCCCCGTCCCCCCTTCCCGCCGCCAGGATGGCGAGCAGCAGCGGCTCCAAGGCCGAATTCATTGTCGGAGGGAAATATAAACTGGTGCGGAAGATCGGGTCCGGCTCCTTCGGGGACATCTATCTGGCCATCAACATCACCAACGGAGAGGTAACCACCCGAGGCTAGCGGCCGGGGCGGGGGGCAAACGACCCTTCCCTGGAGAACAATCCCTGCCCTCTCCCGGCTACGTGGGCGCCTCGTCCGCGCCCCTTGCCAGCGGCCAAGGCCCGGCCCAAGTTTTCTCTTTTCCCTGTGAACCTTTCCCTCAAAGGGTAAAAAAAAAAAAAAAAAAAAAAAAAAAGGAAACATTTAAGTTGGAACTGGGGGACAACTACGACAATTAAGTTTCCCAGCCTTTTTAAATCTCTTTTCAACCTTTAAAAACACATACCCCGAAAATTAAATATTAATATATAACCAAGAGTTTTTTGGCCTCAAGATACTTAGTCTTTGGAACCCCACCCCCCTTTTTTTAGTTCTAATTAGGGTAGCTTTCGATTCTCTCCCCCATTAGATCCTCTTATTATATAGGCTTCAGTGCGTTCAGGCGAAAACATTTTCTATATTTGCATCGTTGATGTTACCATTATTATTATTAAGCATCAGAAGACGATTTTGTTACCAGCCTGAAGAGGCTCTGTTGAGGCCGATTGCCTCGTTTTATGAATACAAGAAAAGATTTTGCTTCCTCAAATCCCCTATTTCACTTGATAGTTCGAATTGGAAGTTTACATGTTGTCCCTCTGCACCCCTAACCTTCCCCTCCCCAACTTGCTGTTAGGGGTGTTGATGCCATCCCCTCTCTTCCCCACAGGAAGTGGCAGTGAAGCTAGAGTCTCAGAAGGCCAGGCATCCCCAGTTGCTGTACGAGAGCAAACTCTATAAGATTCTTCAAGGTGGGGTTGGCATTCCCCACATACGGTAAGAAGCGAGCATCCCGTGAGCCGATGAGGGCTGAAGGGATGGGGAAAGTGAGTAGCTCGGCAACTAACGGGAACGCCTGAATCAGACTTGTTCAGTGTTTCGGATGTTCGGGAACATCTGAGTCATAACCTTTTAAGTGTCTGTGTGTTGGCGCACTCAGGTTATCTATATGGTTAGTAGTTTTCCTTGATTCCCAATCCAACTCCGTAAGAAAACAACGTTTTCTGTGAATATAAGGCTAAATTTTATTCCCGGTTCTCTTTTGGCTTCCGACAACCTTACTGAGTCATTTTTTGTGCTTTTAAGTTTATAGGGAGCAATTGCTTTCATTCCTGTGGGGAGAGACTGTTTTTATGTGTTATGTTCGATTTTCTTATAACCTTTACTTTAGCCTGTGCAGTGAATTTGAAGGTTCAGTGACCAGGATCATCCGGTTAGGGTTGCTATTGGATCTGGATTGGGAAATGGCTGCTCTTTTGTTGTGTTTTTGTTCCAACATGTCTTCCTCCTCCGCTTAGAAAATGGCGGATCTACGTGACTCAACCTCATTTTCCTACCCTTTTCACTTACGGAGTTAACAAGTCTTACTTCCTTAGATCCTCCTTTACTTCCTTAAAGTGGATTGATTGTACCTGTGAAAGAAGGAGAATAGAGCTTTGGAGGTCTAGGGGTGGCAGAATGACTACTCTTTTGTAGTCTATGAACTAGATGCAGTGTGAAATTGTCAGATTGGACCATGCCTACTATTTCCACATTTAGTTAATAATTTTTATTTCATTAATTAAGTAGAAAATGTCCTTTAAGGTAGGAAGATTATAGCTTTTCTCTCCATTGCAATGCAAATTGGACGTAACAACTGAGTTTGCTTGTTTTCTGAAGAGAAAAACCTAATCATTCCACAACAGGTTAATTTATCTGCAAGTCAGGAAAAAGTAAGCTGACTTTAGATGGGAATGCTTGTAAAACAGATCTGATTATTCTTCATTTCACTGTTAAACTTAATGGATTTTACAAAATTTGGATTTGGGGTTCATCACAATCCTAAGAATAAAATGACAACTGTACCTTGTCACATACAGGTTTTTTAAAATTTGCAGAGTTTAGAAGACCAGTAAGTAATGGACAGCCTGTCTTGACTTAAAGATCTGATTATATATATTGATTCTAAGGATGTAAGTACTAGAAAATTCAATAGCCACTCAGTTTTTGTAGAAAAAGAAAATAAAAAGGTTTTTAGTGGTTGGTGAATAATCATGAAGTTTTTATTTTGAAAAGCACCCATTTTTATTGGCCAGTTTTCTAAAGTGACAAGAAAGCAGGTGGAGTGGAAAGAACACTGAATTTTGGTTCTGTTACTTGTTTTTTGGCCAATTCCTTAACGTTTTTGGTCTTGAGTTTTTCCTTACTTGTAAAATGTAAAGGAATTCTGAAGTTCCTTCCAGGTCCAAATCTGTGATCCTAAAACATGGTGAAGTGGATAGAGCCTTGGGCTTGGAGTCAGGAAGACCTAAGTTCAAATTTGTCCTCAGACACTAGCTGTGTGATCCTGGGCAAGTCAATTAAATCTGTTTGCCTCAGTTTCCTTATCTGTAAAATGAATCTGAGAATGGAATAGCAAACCACTCCAGAAAACCCCAAATGGGGTCACAAAGAGTTGGACAAACTGAAAACAATTAAACAACAAAAAATTCAATCACTTCTCTTTTCTCCTCTCCAATTATGTAGGCCAAAAAGTGAAATTTCATAGTGTAGAATGGGAATTTCGTTAGCTTGTTTGCCTTTTTTTTTTCCGAGAAGAAAAAGTAGTGAAAAAGGATTTTCTGGTTTCATTCACAACATGCCCGATTTACTTTCTTAAAAATCAAAGTTCTTATTTTCTGAATAGAATGCTCGAGAATTTGAATAATGTAGTTTTGTTAGCCATGATTCAGAGTCCCTAGAATTCTCACCCAGAATGTGATGCAGAATTTCCACATTGGGCACAAAATTGAAATACTCTTGGTTTGCTTTTTGCTTACATTTTTCGGTTGATTTGAAACTTAACTACCCTCTTCTACTCCCCAGAAAACAACCCCAAAACATCAAAACTGTGCTCTGTTTCCTTGTTCCTTTCAAGGATGAGAAATTGCAAAACATCTTTGCAACTATTGTTCAAGTTCTCCAGGGGATGCCCCCAGTATGATGGGGTTCTTCTTTCTTTTCTCTAGAAGTTGACAGGATATTGTGGGGTATTGGACAAGCATTTTGACCTGCAATTAAATTACATTTTAGTTCATGACCTAGCTTTACTTTGCTCATATGATGAGAATCTTGAAATTGGATTTATTTTCCTAAATTGGTGGTTTATTTCATGATTTTATGACCTTAAGTTAAAATACACTTGTGAAGTTGATGAGATGCTAGATTTTTGAGGTGATAGTCAAGTTTCTTTATTTTACTGAGGTTAGCAGTAATACCTAATGTGGTTGTTACTTGCCAAGGTTCACATACAGTAATGTGAGTAGATCTGGATTCAAACTCAGGTTTTCCAACTGACTAAATGCTTTGCTCTTTTTACAATGCTGTGCTACTTCAACTGAACTTTTTGGTGTCAGTTTTAAAAAAACATTTAAGTGGTCTGCTAGTGGTATACAGGATGGCAGGGGCCATCTAATTTCTGTTAAGACATAAGGTACTAAACAAGTAATTGAGTAAGGTGGAGTGTTGGTAGTTAAGTTGGGTGGGGCTGGGGGAAATTACCACCTGGCTTCATAGGTAAAGAAGGCTTTATGGTTTTTAGGAATCCTTTAGGAGGGAGAAATATTTATGGCTCCAGAGAGGTAGACAGTCCTGAGTCTGTAACTATATATATATATATATATATAAATATACATAAATATAAATCTAAGAGAAGAAGAAATGGAGCTTAGTAAACAAAAGTAAGGTAGTGTAGTGGCTATGAAATAAAAATATTTGAGGTTCAGTGGAAGATTTTGTAAGAAAGATTAGCCTTAACCTTGATGTATTGTGTTGGGACAATTGCCCAGGTTGTGCCCAATTAAAAAAGATAGTGATTTCCAAACTTTTGGAAGATTTAACACTTCACTTTTTATTAGTGTTTTATGCTTTCCCCTCCCTCAAAAGCACAAAAGTCATGTGTTGTGTATTTTATAAGTGAATTTAATAATTTCTGGCATCCCTTAGAGATAATTTGAGATGGCCTTGAGTGAACTAACCATTGGCTGTAAAGTCAGCTGACCTACATAACACTCTTCTCTGTTAGAGTCATTATTGTGTAATTTGAGGAAACCATTTATAGAATCAAAAGCATACTTCCATTTTAGAGAGCAGAAGCAAGATGCTATCTCTTGAGATTGTGGAGGCACTGATAGTCTGCAGGCCTTCTCCCTTGACATATGGTACTGATGATGACTGTCAAGCCTTCAAATTTGGGGGAAGGGGAACTGTAGTAAAATTCAAAGGTAAGATTAAAAATTCCCTTCTCCATAATGTTGTGGTTCTACTTAGAGCCCTACAGGAACAGGACCATCATAACAATCCATTTGTAGTTAAGTGAATCTCAAACTGGCTAGAGGGAAATTAAAATGTTTAATGATGTGTTCAATGGAAATTAATAGGAAGTTTCTAACTTAGTTCAGTGGAAAGAACACTGGACCTGAAGTCAGGTAGATTTAAAGTTCAGATATGCCATGTGACCTATTATGACTTAGGGCAAATCACTTAACCTCTCTCAGTTTCAGTTTTCTCATCTGTAAAATGGAGGTAATAGCACTCATGTCCCAGGATTGTTGTGAGGATATAATGAGATAATATTTGTAAAGTGCTTTGGAAACCTTAAAATACCATATAAATGCTAGCTATCATCATTATTATTATTATCTGCTATTGATGAATTGAATTTTGGGGATGGGACGTTAATTTGATTGGCCAAGGATGAAGGAAATACTTCTTTTATCTTAATCCAAGTTTCAGAGGTTATGGGCTAATAGCTAACTGATTTAAATGTCTGTCAAGCACTTGGTACTCTTTGAAACCTGATGTGAGGAATAAAAAAGGATTCAATTCATTTAAAAAAAAATTTTAACTTTTCTTTTGCACTCTGGATACATAATTCATAAACTTTTCATTTATGAGAGAATTTAGAAGTCTAAAGTATTTTCAGAATTTTGAATTCAAGTAGTTATCTTGAAAGTTTAAACCATACTTTGTTAAATTTTATGTTCTGTGGAAGAAAAATTTTCTGTAATCTAACAAATAGGTAATTCCATAATCCCCCATATGCTTGCGTGGTTACCCAAGGATTGGGTGACATTCACATTATGGTGGTCCCTGTTAATAGGAGATCACATAGAGAACTAGATGCTTTGTGGTGAATTTCCACTTGTAGATTAGAATGGAATAATTCAATTACAAAAATAAAGATTGTTGATCTGGAAATAAGATAATCTAGTCAGATCTTTTCTTTTACAGATGTAAAAAAATCTGGGCTCCAGAAGGACTCATAGCTGATTTAGTAAGCCAGTGACTATAAAGACCCCAGATCACTCACCTTGTTCACACTATACCATTTGGTATCAGTCACTATATGAATGGCCAAGATGCTTTTGCATTTCATTCTTAAACTCTTACTTGGTTTATGTCTAAGCTTTGGCTTACCTCATTTTATGCCAGTTGAGAATGGGAAATTAAGTTCAAATACGATTGGAAATGTTTACTTTGGGGTCTAAATCAGAAGAAAGTGTTGTGAGCCATTGCAAAGTGAATGGATGGGCATCCTTATACCAAATGATTTTTTTTTGCTTCTTTCTGTGGAGGTGACCGTAGATTGTTGATTACTATGCCTTTGGAGCATGAGCTTTGGTAAATTGGATGAAGAGGTTGGTGGCTTGGTGACAGACTATATATGTTTCTCAGAAGACCAGTTTAGCTAAGTTTAGAGTAGTTAAATCTCTTCCAGCTTGGCTTAAGGAGGAATTTATTGGCTACTGCAATTTCCA